CCCTCAACCAACTGCTCACGTCGCCCAGCTCGGCCCGGGGCTACCAGGGTTACCCCGGGGGCGACTACGGAGGCGGGCCCCAGGACGGGGGCGCCGGCAAGGGCCCGGCGGACATGGCCTCGCAGTGCTGGGGGGCTGCTGCTGCGGCGGCGGCGGCGGCGGCAGCCGCCTCGGGAGGGGCCCAACAAAGGAGCCACCACGCGCCCATGAGCCCCGGGAGCAGCGGCGGCGGGGGGCAGCCGCTCGCCCGGACCCCGCAGGTACATGGCTGAGTGGGGAGGGGGCTGGGGCGAGCGGGATCCTGGGAGTGGGTGGCGGCTACGGGGAGCAGGCTACACCCGTGGGCTACCCCCAGTCTGGGGCCCCCACTTCTGGGGAGCTGCCATTGTCTGGCTCTTCTCTCTTAAAATGGCTGCCTGTCTGCCTTCCTCTCTTTCCCTCCTTCAGCCTTTGTGTGGGGCTTTCCCTGAGGTGTCTGCTCCCCTTCTCCCTCTCCCCTGGTCCCTTCTAGCTCCGGGGGTCTTCAAGGGGGTGCAGGGCAGAGTGTGTGGGAAAGGGCCTGGCCCGAGGTGAGGGGGTGCTGGGGGGTCAGGTTAGGGGTGTAGGCATTGTTAAGAGCTTGGGAGTTGAGTGAACAATTCTTTGCTCACCTGCCGCTCCTCTCTACCCCCTTACCTTCCTCTAGGCCGTCCCCCATCTGTGCTTTCAAGAAGGGGCCCCTCGGGCTCGGGGGGACCTCGAGGGAGGGCAGGGGCCTGCTTGGGGGCGGCTAGAGGCCGGCTGCCGTTCACCCAGGCCAGCCCGGGCCGTCTCCTGTCTCTGTCTCCGTCGGCCTAGTGGCCTGGGCTTCTCCCTGGAAGTGCTGGTAAACAGCTGAGTGATTGGAGTAGTAAGTGCAGATTGCTTTGGTTTGGGATTTGAATTATGGAGGTAAAATCCTTCTGTCAAAGCCAGGAGACAGTTGGTCTTAGGTTGACATCCTATCTGTGATCTGATTGGCTCCCCATCTCCTGCTCTTGGCCATTTATAATTGCCTCTGATGTAATGGTACAACAATCCTGATGAGCTCATAAACTTTTACACTCTGCTTTTCTGCCAGTGATAACCCAAACCATCGCTGCCACTATCTGCCTTTTATTCCAGAGCTGAAATTGACTGTGACCTTGAGAAGGGAGGTTTAAGCAGCAATACTGTATCAGCAGGAGCAGAGCCCCAGACAGGCTGCCCTTGTTACATTGTGCCCGAAACAAAAGAGGAGGCAGTGGCATTTTGCTTGTACCTTGGATTTATTTTGCTTGTTATGTTTTATGCAGCCTGAAATAGATTCTGTGTTGTCAGAACACTAGCTGAGTTTTTCTCTACAATGGGTTTGCTGTTTGTTTTGGTTTTGTGACTTTCCTGGTGGTATAAATGACTTCTTTGATGGCTCTGAAGATGCATTTGTCTTAATTTTGACCCTATTCGCTTTGCAGAATTGAAATTATTTTACTGAGCTTTTTATTGAGTGGCAAATGTGGAATCTTTGTGGGAGGGGGTAGGAAAAAACTTTCTGCGAACTGGAAGCTTTCTGAGAATTTCATATTCAAGCATTTCGTTTTAAGGAAGGCTGGCCTCATTCTTTGTTTACATGTTGAATCTTGTTAACTTTCTTTTGTTAATTTAACTTTCGGAGAGCAGCTCAATTTAAAGGGAAGCTGACATCTTTTGTGATCTTGAGAGTGACTATCTCCTAAAGGCTTGGTTTGGTGATATTTATCATTTGTTCCTGGAATATCTAAAAGGCTAATTTTCTATTTTGTCATCAGTCATTTTAGAGCTTTGGAATAGAGGTCGATGAGTTTTTTTTTCTTGTGTTTTAAAATTCCATTTATTTCTATCGCCCAAGATAATAAAGATAGGATCACAATGATACTTAAGATGTGCTTAGAAATTACAATTTTTGGTACATTTTTATGCATTCTATTTCATTTATTTTGCGTTTCTTCCCTCTGCATCATGTTCTGTTCTCAGTGCTTTGGTCAGGAATATAGGTATTCTGTAGGGTCATCTATCATTTCAAAAAAGGGAAAAACTCCCTTCATGACCTCCCCCTTCCCAGCAGTACCTAGTTGTACCTTTGTACTGTGAGATTTTGTTCACTTCAGTGGCCTAATTGTGTTCCTTCCGCATCCTAGAACTGCTTTCCTACTCTTATATTGAGCTGGGAGTTTTGAAAATAGTTGTGTCAGATGGCAGGTTTAGAGCTCTGTGCCTTGACTTCATGTCTTCCATGATGTTCTACAACTGGGCAGGAAATAGGGGAATTTTAAATTGGATTTCTAGTGTCTGGAGGATAAATTTTGTCTTAGAAGACAGAACATTCCCTTGTCTCTGGGTCACTCTGTAGTTTATATCTCTTTACTTTCATTCTTTCTCCCTTTTTTCGGAGGAAGGAGAGGAGGTTGAGAAATTTACCTTTCTTAAACTATTAGAAGAAATAATTTGGGGTAAGTCAAGCCTCATTTAAAAACAAAAAATAATTTGAATTCTTCTGGCTTGGGGTATTCAGGCTTTTTTTTTTGATAAAACCAATTTTTGCCTTAACAATTTCTGTTTTTCATTCATTAAACAAGTATTTGAGCACTTTCTATGTACTAAGTACTATGCTCTGTGCTGGGTAAATAATAGGAAAATACAGTCCCTGTTTAGAAGCTTGTCTGTGCTGCCTTTGAGTGAATTTTCTGATTCTTTTTTTAACATTACCAGACCTGGCACTTCACACAACATAGATTCCTGTTTGACTTCAGTTCAGTTGCATACTCCCCTGAGACCCAGAGCATGGGCTGGTGAGCATTTACTTGTAGAAGAGACAGTACAGCTTCCAGTTTTGTGGCCTGTTTCAAGTGTGTCATCCAGGTGAGGGTTGTAGGTGGATAGATTTTGTTCTGAATTCCTTTTTGCTACTTAAGGGTAAACCTCTTGTTGTTCAGACCATGATGCCCTATTCTTAAGCATTCTTAAATAATAAGATCTTTCTCTGTCCTCTTCTTTCCCTAACTCAGTCTTGAATTTAGAGTTTTTTGCAAAGACTTGATTGACACAGTTAAAGTGGTAATGTTCTCATTTGACTCTGCCTTTATGAAATAAAGTAAGTGTGTGTACTGTGCCTGTATCTTTTTCACAGGACCTGGGAAGATCCCAGCAAACAAACTTTTCCTTTATCCCTTTCCATAAATAATACTATGTCTCAAGATGTTGAATCCTCCTACTGATGAAATACTTTCCAGTTACCTATGTGCTTAAACCTCATGTAAAGCTTTTTACTTGGGATGCTTTTAGCTGTAGTACTTTGAAAGCATTACCAGCTCGTCAAAGTAAAAAATGAAACAGAATATGTAGTCCAGAATCAAGATGGATTTGATTGTAGAAGTTTGGCTGTTAGTTCCTGCTATGGAAATATCAAATGATATTTCCGACTCCTGGGAAACAAATACAGGAATCCTAGGCTTATGGGAATGCCTACTGGCAGAAGTTCTGGGCTGGCTGAAACACAGGACTCTTGGAGCTCTTTCAAGTAGGAGGGACCAGGAAAAGCACATTGAGATGGCACTTAGTTGTGGGGGCTTCATGTTCTCTGCCCTCCAAGAGAGAACTGGGGGTGATGGAGGTTGGGATGGTGGTAAGAGAAGAGAGAAAGCAGTCAGGACCAAGTTTGGCTTCTTTGTATTGGGCCCTGTGGGGACTTTTTAAGGTTCCTTCCTTTGTGTGTGACAAAGAGTAACCATGACAAGTGGCACCTGTTGTAACAAGATGTCTTGGATTGCATTAAACATTCATATGTTGGATTGACTCCTGTAGGGTGTGATGTCTACAGTAGACCTCTTGCAAAGAGCTTAGTGAACTTTTTTAAAAATTGGAAATAAGCTAACAAAGTAGTAGTCAGGGTCTTTTCCCATTCCCATGCCCCAAAAGGTTGTATTGATTGGCTTCAAAACCCAAAATTCTAGAAGCAACTGAAGCATGCAAATATGGATAAAATATGGTATTCAAAATAAATTGGCTTGAATAGTTCTTTCCTGCCAGTGAACTGGGATGATACCTCCGTTTCTGAAATGGAGTCCTGATTCCCTTGGCTTTTATATCTGGGTTTTATATCTGGGTTTTCTTGTTTAGATTGGTGACTGTCATTACTGATGTGCATCAAGTTGTGTGTGGCATAGTAATGAGGGGTAAAGAGCACAGGACCCAGGAGGAAGAGGAGCTTTGGTTCCACATGCAGCTCTGGATTAAGCCGAGTGACTTTGGGCAGGTCATTGGCCTTCTCTATTTCTTTATCTCTTCATCAGTAAAGTTGGTGGACTAGATAACCTTATTCCTCTCTGATGCTACACATCTCTCTGTGCTTCCATACCTGGCTTGTTAAGAGGGCAGCTTCTTCCTATACATTTTTCAGTAGGGATCTTGAGACCATCTTTCTTCCCCTGGGCTCAAGGAACTCAAGGCTATTTTCTCTTGAGGATTTACAGGAACAAGCTCTGAATGGTTGGGTGCCACTGTGGTCTGTGGCCCTTCACAGAAAAAGCCCTACCAGACTATTTTGCCTTGAGACTGTTAATCTCTTTGTCATTAGTCATTCCACCTCGCTGGTGGTTTTAAAACACTAAACAGTAATTGAAAAATTAGGCAGACTTCATTAAAGCAAGACTTGAAAAATAGTTCCATCAAAATCTCCATGAGGGAATTTTGGGGGTAGAGCTAGGGGTGAGGTGAGGAGTGGATATTCATAAATTCAGCGTTAACACTCTGCTTCTCTTTGGGGGATAGGAAGGTGGGGAGAGGTAGCATTAAGCTCTCCAGACTCTTCTGGTGTTTGGGCAGGTCTGGGTCTGGTTTGGGCAGTTGGTTGTAATCTGAGTGCCTGAACTTGCCCTGTAAGTTTTGCTGAGAGAAGAGCAAAAGTTCCTGAGACTGGAACAGGAAAAGCTAAGCATTTTGGGGTCAACTTTATAGGTCTATTGCCTTTTCTCATACCTGTTTTGTTTTTTTTTTAACCGTGTGGTGTGGTTTGCAAGTGGTCGTGGAAATGCTGCTTTTCCTTTTTTCCAGCAGACCTGAATTTCTGATTTGTCTCCTCCTGGTTTAGTAGTTTAAAAGTATAATTTAGGCATTTTAGAGGTGTGCTAGAAGGAAGCTTCCCTTTATAAAAGAGGAGTAAAGGTAGAGGGAAAGGTGTTTGATAATTCTCTGCTTGACACAGCAGCTTCTCTCTGAAGGAACCAAA